AGAGCTGCATTGCACGGTGTAAATTTGCCCTCTGTATCACAGACCTGATCTTCTGTCTTGTAACAATCACGGTGAAGCAGCTTCTGTTGGTAATGAAAAATCTTTTGTTCAGAGAGATCAAGAATTTCAAATCTTTTTCATTTCCAAGGCTCACTTAATGAGCTTGCAGATTGGCCCAGAAGGCTGGCTGACAACAAGGATAATGCCCAAGAACTTGGGGACTAGCTCGCTGTCCCACAATGAAACCAGCATGTTTTGAGGGAGTTTTACTCTCAAAACTACGCCCTCAGGCTGATCAGTCTCTTCAGCTGCTTTGGGCTTCTTCCTTTTTTCTAACTCATACAAACCGTGCCCTGAAGAGAAGGATTGTTTTTCTCACCTGAGCCAGTAGCTTCATTCTACCATCTGGATGGAGAAAATACAAAAGTCCAAGAAATAGCTGAACTTACCAGCTATTCTCTTTATAAAGTAATTAAAAACTAACTAAATATCCAAGTTGCTGATGGGAATTTCTCCAAACCGCTGAGACAGAACGGGCCCTTAAGGATATTCACCCTCATCTTCTGGCAGTTTAATGGGATGTGGCATAGAAAATTGCTCTGAGTAATGCCAGGGAACCACAACTGCCGTTTGCCTGCCAGTGTAACTAATCCGTTCTTGTAAGGGGTTGGCTGCAAAGCAAATTCTTCTCTCGGTTCCCAGTTCTGTGTGTTCTGGGTTTGGGTACTGGGCTTTGTCAGTGGTGCATCCCAGTATTGCGTCTGCAGAGCGCTTGCTAACTTTCTCCAGTATCCCCCGGGGGCCCCCAGAGCCTCTGGGGAAATTGTGCTGCACGTACACCAGCAACCTTGAGTTTGTGCTCTCTCGCTTATCTTCTGGTTTTTGGTTTTATTTTTTTGACTGCGTGCCATCTGCAGGGCACGTAAAGTAAATGCTCCAAGACTATTGTCTTGGTGTCACAACATGAGCCGGCGCTCCAGCTGTGCCTTCGCAGCAATGTAGCTCCTCGATTTTAATCTTTATGCTTCTTGTTATTAGTTTCTGAAACAACATTAAAACCCACCTATATTCTTTGTATGCAGCACAGCAGTGTGAGGACAGACGCATAAATAGGAAAGGGGCATATTTAAAATAACACAGGAAATCAGTAACAGTATAGGCAGGACTTCAGACACTCTTGACTCCCATTCTCTGATTAATATGCGATCCCTGCTGCCTGCAGATGAGTATTGTGTTTCTCTTTCTAGCAAGCACACCAAATGGATTTGCCTGTATGGGTGACACCAGATGTCATGGCTCAGCTGAAGCAACTAAAAGACTTTGGTTTTGAATTTCTGTTTGGGATCCACAATCGGGTAGAAAAAGCTCGTCTGCAAGGCGGTGAGTGCACCTGGGAGGGAGCTTCGTGCTGCTCTGTCTGGTTTTTGGCTCTTATCAGCTCTTCCCTTTCCTCAGGGGTCCTGCTGGATCACATAAGGAAAAACCTAACCAAAGCAGCAAATCTTTCGGCCCACCAGAACCTGAAACTACTTGCCTATTCAGCGGTAAGTCAGAGCTTGGCAGGGGGCTAAGCTTTTGTCCATCTCCTCCTCCTCACAGGGGCTGGGGGCTTGGTGACAGTTTTAACCCTTTCTGGCTTCTCTACAGCCCGTGCAGTGATCAGGACACGCACCTTTGCCTCTGGCCGGGTGGGCTGTGCAGTATCTGGCATTGTTCCTCTGAGGAAAATTCCCAACCTGCGCTTTGTTCCTGCTAGCTCAGGCTTGTGGGTGAGACTGGCAGACTTTGGGGAGCCACTGCTGTCTTTATTTGGTAGATGGGTCGATGTTACTCAGCTGTGATGTTTCAGCAGTGTAGATACTCACAGCGCCCCGTTCCAGCAGCCTACTGACTGGAAAGTCAAGCATCTCTCTCAAATTGCTCCCTGGAGTTTAATTCTTAAAGAACGATGCAGGCTGTGCATGGCTGTGTTTCACTTCCTCCCCTTCTCTGGCACCGTCACAGGTCACCATTCTAGCTGCACGGTTCCTCTCCCTCCTTCCAGATGGAAGTTCCTCAGAACTGCCCCGTCTGTTACTGGTATGGTCTGAGCTGCCCTGTCACATCCATAAGGGTGACTGATTTGGTTTTTTTTCCCCTCTTTCGCAGCATGACACCACGCTTGTGGCATTGCAGATGGCTCTAGATGTCTACAACAAGATTCAAGCACCATACGCCTCATGTCACTTATTTGAGCTGTACCAGGAGGATGATGGGTGAGGGCTGCAGTAAAGACGTCTGCTGTGATTTCACTTCAAGGGTTAGATACCTAGGCTAGGCTCCACCCAAGGGGGATGCAATCTTGCTCCTCATGACAGACTCTTTGGAGGATAACTACCACCAGAATAAAGGAAAGGGTGTGCACACTGAGTTTTTGGGAAGGGATTACTTCAGCTGGAGAAAAAAAAACCCAAACATCTAGCTGTGTTTTGTTTTCAGTAACTTCTCCGTGGAGATGTTTTTCCGGAATGAGAGTGGGAAGGAGCCTTTCCCCCTGACAATCCCTGGCTGTCAGCATAAATGCCCGCTGCAGAGATTCTTGGAACTCACAGATCCCGTTGTTCCCCAGGACTGGAAGCAAGAATGCCAGGTGGCAAGCAGCATGCACGACACAGGTGAGCCCAGGCTGGGCCAGAGCGTGGCAGAAGGGGAAAGCTCGGATGATACCGTGTTGACCATTTGTTTTCTCCCTTGCAGAACTGTTTGTGGGTCTGGCTGTGTGTGGCTCCATTCTCCTTCTCCTTATAATCCTCCTCTTGACTGTACTTTTTCGCATACAGTCTCAGCCCCCTGGTTACCGGCACGTTTCCAATGAGGGAGAAGAGCAGGCCTGACAGTTCCTTCAACTCCTTCCCAGGCAGTAGGAGGGAGCGGTGTTGCCCCTAAGGATGATTGGGCACCTTCAGATACTGAGCATTCTTCTGCTTTGGCCATTCCTTCCCAGAATGAAGCTGGACTTGATTTTCCCAGAGAGAGAGGACTAAGCTACTCTAATGGAAACGACACCTTAATTCTGAAGCCAGTATACTCTGTGGTGCCCCCAATCCTCATACAGCTTACCCAGTCTGGGATTCCCAAAATGGCAAGTTGGAGCTGGCCAAGAGTTTTCCTCCTTTTAAGTGATTGTAAGTGGTTCCACTCGCCGTGACTGTGGCAGAGGGGCTTGGGCCTCCAGCAGCTGCCACATCCAGTACAAACAGGGGCTGCGTCTCTCGTCAGGGTCAACCTGCTCTGAGTGCTTTTCTCTCAAGCCCTCGGGCTGCTGACGGGAAGGCTGGGCTTGGAGCAGAGGGCACAGCTCACCAATGTGCACCGAGACCCATCTGCTGTCCGTGCCGAGGGAACTGCCGCAGATGATGGCAGCCAGTGAAAAGTGTTTCTTGAGGTTGCTGCTAAGCAGTTGCTGCTGGCAACTGGTCTCCTTTTCCTTCTTCACATTGTGGTTCAAGAGAGGACTGGCCTGGAATTGGGACAAAATTGAAAACCTGGCAGTAGTTTCTAGGATTCAGCTCAGAGTAGGTTACGTATGATCCAAAGAAGCTCCAAGAGCTTTGTTGGGAGAGATGAGTTGCTGTGACTACAGCAAACCTACACCTAATTTCTTGTGCGGTGTTGGCTCGAGAAAGGAGAGTCCCCTTAGATGAGAAACTTGGGCGCTGTCTAAAGATTCAGCCTTTGAATTTGGCTTCTCTGCCTCTGAACTTCCAAGTACCTATTACAGGGAGTATCCAGTGCTGCAGCCAGTCCAGATGGCAGCTACGAGCCCAAGGAATATGCTTTCCTAGCGGGATGGTTTTATGCTGTAATTAAAGAGATGTAGCAGAGCTGTTTACCTAAGACTAGATTACATGCCAAGTTCTGTAGTTTTTCTTCCTGTCTTCCCTACTGGATGGACAACAAACAAAAACCGATCAAGGATCAGGGTTTGCAGGTGACTGTGGATCCCTCCCTTTATTTGCCACGCTTTGGCATTTTGACCAGAGTGTGACTGTTTCTCCAGGCCGGCCTCTCTGTGCGCAGTGCAGCTGCCGCGGGGAACTTAATGCCAAGTGCTCGCCACCTGCCTCGCAGCTTTTGGCAGAAAATGAGAGACTGCAGCAGGCACCAGAGGCTCTTCACATGGTGAGGCTGCACATTCACTTCCCACATTTACTTCCCTTTCTGGTGCGGTTTCCTTCCCCTCTTGGCGACAGAAGCCAGCTCTTAGGTTACAGACGTTTCCTTTTCTTCCCCTGTGGAGTACCGTGGGGACTTTTCCCTACATGATAATCGGCATCTGCCAGCATGGGAACTCTAAATCAGCAGAAGCAGCTTGCTGTTCTCAGCATCTTCCTCACCTTTTTGTCCTCTGAAGATACAATCTAGGTCTCCTGCACAGCGAGACAGTCATAAAGAGAAAGCTACTGCCTGTGAAAACAGGCACAAGAAAGGGGTGATAGAAAACTGCATTGAAGAGGACCAGACCTGTTATTTTTAAAGGCAGCAAATTTTGCACACACAGAGGCAAGGTTTCTATGATGATTTAGACATTTTGACTGTGAATTACTTTCTGTAACTGTTCCAATACATTTCATTATTAAAATCAAATTCGCACAGAACTACTCCTCCTCTTCTCTAAGAGTTCACAGGACTAGCACCAGTCTGCTCAGTGTTGGAAAACAGGCAGAACTTACTGCAGCATTCCCCCTCCCAAAGGAATTCCCTAATTTACAATCCCTTTTACAGCAGAGTGAGAGTTGAGCTAGATGAACTACTGACTGCAGCAACCATGCGCAGATACAGCTTGTATTGCAACCTGCCCAACTTGGAAGGGCCCGCTGCAGACACGGTACTACGGCTGATTTTCCACCACTGGTTTAGGTCTCAGCCATCCTGCAGAAAGGTCTGTAATTTCTTCCCCCCCCATATAAAGGAATTCAGCAGAATGCTCAAAGCAGCCGCTCTTTGTATCAAAGAAATAATTGAGTTTAGTACAAAACTTTATTAATAGTCAATACTGTGAAACTATAAAAGTGAACACAGAGAATCTGAACAGGCCTGGAGCCCGTCCCATCCATCAACCTCTGGGACAGCAGCAAGGCCCCAGGCAGCCTTGTAAACAAACTAGAAAAAGCAAAACTTTTCAGTTTAACAGCAGTCTTGAGGTTTGGCTCTGAGCAGGGATGTTTGGAAAAAATTCCTCATTTCTGCTTTACAATGCTTTTATCCAACATTCTGAAGCACAGAGGCATGGGTGAAAAAAATTACCTAATCAGTGGCAAGAGGAAGCCTAGAGCTATGAAATAGAGAAACTACAGAATCGGTAGGTTCCCAGCTCCATAGTGCCCTTGCATCCCAAGAGGCAGGTAAAGAGCTCTGGCGTCGTCATGTTCTTTGTGGTCTAGTTAAAGAGCTGCAAGCACAGAATAGGTTAAGACTGAGGTCTTGACAGACGCGCATTTTCCAAGAAGCCTGACATACGGGGGAAGTCGGTGTTCCCCAAGCTACCCACCGCCTCACCCCTATGAACATTCTACCTTTTCAGGACATTGATCTTGTTAGCAAAGGGCTTCTCGGCTCGGTTTGACTAGAACAGGCTGGGGACCTCGTCACCAGCTGCTCCACAGCAGACTGCAGGAGACAGGTAACCTCTGATAAGTGCTGGCAAAGCAGACGTGGCAGGCTGGAAGCAGGAACTTCAGCAGGATCTGAGAACGTCTCTGAAGTTTTCCTAGCACCTCAGAAAACAGGTGGTAACTCCACTTGGAAGAAGAACTGAGTACTGACACAACTTTCTAGAAGGGGGAGCAGAGACTCAGGGAAGCAAGAGCAGATCTAGAGAAGGACAATGTAGACGTCTAATGCCCTGCATGGCTTATACTGCCCATTGCCAACACTGAATTTGTACCCTGTGATCCAGAAAGGACCAAAAAGTCTCAATCAGTTCCCTAGATCCTTCCCTTTTCGCTTCCTTCCCTGTGATTTAGAATCATTGCTTTTTGTTCTCATCTCTTCCAGCTCCCAAGACAGTAAGTTAGCTTTGAGTTTGCTTGTCCCAGGGTTTGCCTGCCTCTGCCCTCCACGTCTGGACAAACTCCAGCTTCCAATCCCCTGTTCTGTCATGGCTTTCAAAAGATGTTCTTGCTTCTTGGCCACCATCTCCTCCCGGCTCCAGATCAGAATATTAAAGCCTGAGAGGAAAAATCAAGCACTGCATCAGAAACTCTACATCAGAGACAATACCTGAGGCTGTGTCACTTAAATGCCAGAGATTCAAAATTCTTTGTCTGTTCTAAGGTATTTCCAAGGTACAGAGGATGCAAAGTTATTTATTGCAGATGCTATCTCCATACAGCCATGGAAATGTGATCTAATTAAGAAACATAATCACGTAATTCCTAATCTCATCTATCACATGTCTAAAACCTAAATATATAGCCAGCTCCCTTAATCCCATACAGCCTGTGAAAAATGGAGTAATCTTGTCTCTGCAGCCTAGGAAATGAGATAGATTAAACGAAGGGAGAGGGTACAGCCTAGCAGGAAAAGGCCTTTTCCCTCCCCCCCACCATCCTTTTCTGCTCCCCTTACAATGCCGGCAGATGGCAGCAGCTCCCTGCTGCGGGGAGGCCTCTCGCTCCTCCGGACTCCCTGCTCTCAGGAACGTTTCACAGGAGGTGACTACCAACCTGTTTTCTAACTGCAAAGGTGGAAGACTAAAAAGAAGGTCTTGCATCTCTTTCACAGATGTAGGAAATGGTAGAAGACTATTAGCAAGTGGGATTTGGGAAACCCTCACTCGCAACTTGCCTTAGGCTTGAGAAACAAGCCTGCCCTTGCCTGGGCCTGGAACCCACCCCCATGCTTCGTGCCCCGGGTTCTCTTTACTTACCCATGCCAGAAGCCAGCGTGTCTCCCATAGGGTTAAATTTGTTGAGCTGAAAATGGAAACACAATCAGAGTCTGTAAGAGCATCACTGCTTATATAACGGAGTCATAAGAGCACCACAGCTTATATAACAGCGACAAACCATCTGGAAACATTCCCTATAAAGTATCACAGAAAGAAACCCCACAGATGACCACGGACCAGCCCTGCTCGAGTCAGCAGCTTTAGTGGGCAGCCATACCCCCACGAGAGTGTGAGTCTGTCACAAGTAAAAAGGTCACTCCTATTATTCTAGCCCCTAACCCGTATCTCTTGGCGGCGGCTCAATGCCCCGCGGTCCTGTTAGCTGCCGTGCTCAACTCACCGAGATGATGCCAGAAGCATTTGGATCATGGAGCTGACAAACCATCTCCCCGGTGTTTCCATCGAATACGTCAACAGTTCGTAGCTCGTTCACGGTGTACCCTGGGAACTTGGGGTCTGGGTAGCGCCCTGCCACAATGAGGTCATAGCGAGGATGCCACGTTGCCTGGTCATAGAGCAGAGCGATGGGCAGTTAGGAGAAAGGGACAGAGCTCACGCTGACGCACACCCGGCAACCGGCAGCGTGAGCAACAGTTTGTACATCCCACCCACAGCTCGAGGAACACGAGCATCCTCACAACGGCGCTGGGAGCTGCAGCAAGCGCCAACAGCCACGCACCGATACAGTATCCTGACCCGAAATCGGACCCGTTTCTTGATTTACAGCACCGAGCACGATACCCCCTCTCAGACTGCACTGACTTCACTCACCTTGATAGGTGTGAGGTGCTGAAACTGCCGATGTGGATGTGGGATCAGATGCTGTGGCTTGGTCCAGTCTGAAGATGAGTAAACCCTGATTTCACTGCGCTGGTCTGTGCTCAGGAGCTTGGCACCGTCTGTTGGGCTGAAGTAAGCTAGGGGAGGGGGACAGTAAGGCAAACAAAAGATCGCAACGCTGCGACTGACCAACATAAAAGTCACGTTTCTCTGATTGGAAACCCACTGTTATTTCTTTAATAGGGATGTGAATATGGCCATGTGTCCCAACAGACAAGACTTCACCTGTCTCAAAGAAACTCAGAGCTCTTACAAACAAAGGTGAAACCCACAGCGCTGGGTTATAGAGGAAGAATCGTTATTCTCATTTTAGAATAACAGAGACATTGCAAAGAAAGGAACTTGCTCATTCAAATAGCAAGTTAGTGGAAAAGTTGGAGACGGACACCTGCAGTTTGGACCCCCATGGACTGGACCCAAGAAACAGAGGCTTGAGTCCCATGCTCTGCTTTTGTCATAGGAACTGCCCCAATAAATTCAGTTTTCTCATCTCAGCCGCTGCTGCGCTTGCACACTCGCCTCTCCCGGCACAGTGCCACGGTTTGTATGGCAAGTCTAAGACTGGGCTGCAGCTGCAGCTGCCCTGCCCACCTCCCTGCCGCTGGCTGCACGTTCCCAACGCCTTCCTCGCTTTAACACTCGCTGCTGCGCAACTTCGAATCTGAGCGACAGCTAACATTGCCACAATAAAAGCTGAGCTTAGTGGACTCTCTGCAGACGTCCGTGCAATGAAACCCTTCCCTCAACTCACCTGCATTGACAGGTTTGTCATGAGGAAGCACGTGAAGAAAATTCATCTTGTTTTTGATGTTTCTGAGGTCCCAGATTTTGACCGTCTGATCCACAGACGCTGTGGCCAGCAGCCACTCACATCGGGAGTTAAACTCCACATGAGTCACTTTCTTCCTGTGCAATTTCAGCTTCCAAATCTGCAGCAGAAGAAACAGAAAATCATACAGAAAAAAAAAAATAATCAAAGTCTGGAGTAAAGAAATGGAATAATCATTTAGTAGTGCAGAGTAAAGAAGTCTCACATTTACAGAGTAACAAAACTTCTAAAATACACCAAGAGTTTATCCACTGGAAACAAAAAAGGAGAATGACCTTGGGAACCACTGAATTCCAGAACTCCGATCTACCAATTTATTACAGCTATGAGAAAGGAAAACACAATCCCTGGTTCATGGAGGGAAGTATTAGTGATGCTATACAAAGTAAGATCACATCTGGAATACTTTATGCAGTGCCAGTCTTCCACCTGTAGAAAGATTCAAACAAACTGGAACAGAGACAGAAAATGCACTGCTGAGAGAATAAGGAGAAAGAAGGGCCTGTTTTGTGGGACAAGACCAAAAGAGCTTGCTTTCATTATCTTAGTAAAAAAGGTGAGAGGGGATATAATTGGCTTCTAGAAATAATTCAGAAAAGAAACATGAAGGTAGGAGAAATATTTCAATTAACAAGAACAAATGGATGTAAACTGGCCAGGAATAAATTTACATCCAAAGCCGGAAGATTATTTCTAATCAAAAGGGGGAAGCTGCCTCATCCTCCCCGCTTGGGTATCTGCCAAGTGCCGAAAAGACTGTCACATTCTTTTGGGAGATAAAAAAAAAGGAAAAGAAGCAACTAACCTTGAACAAGCACAAATCATTTGGAGCACTCCTGACCCTACCCACTAATTTACAGAGCCACCTCTGGGCACAGCTCACTGGGTGCCAAACTCTTACAGATGTCACCCTTAGAGGCAGGAGAAGCGGTAATTGCGGTGTGAGGGTACAGCTGGCTCTCAGAAGCAGGGCCCGCTCCAACCATTCTCCAATCGGTCTCTGTCCTACTACAGACTGGAAGGCGCCGTCTGCCCTCTCGTGTCTAATAGCAGTAGTGCAATTTCTATCCCAACATTCGCTGAACTAACTGTTGTGTACCTACCCCGAGGCCATGGAAGGGTATACATGGAAGCAGTTATCTCCTAACTCACTCCCATCAATGCGCTAAGTTTCTGGAAGTGTGAAGGTTGTTGGCAGAGGCAGCTCACATCTTCAGGTTATCCTATAATGACTCTAGCCAGTAGCAAATACTCTTAAGGAAAGGGTAGCCCACAACACAATCCCTGTTTGGGAATTACTACCGTTATGCTCAACAGTGTGAAAATGTTTAACAAATGGCAGAAGTGTAGGACTTCTCACCACCCAGGCAATGGGCAGACTCATCTCCTGAGCTGCAACGTGCTTGCTCCTCTTTTCAGGGTCCCTGTAGTATAGGAAAGCACATGAGCCATGGAGATATGCAAAGAGGAGACGCTGTGTGGGGAGCCATACAAACCTCTTCACCAGAAGTGCTGAGCAGGACCACATTGCCCACGTTATCACCCGTCACCACTGCACGGCAGCTTGCCGAAACATCAACGCTGCAATACCAGCAACTAGAGGAAAAGACACAAAATCAGTGCTGGCTCCAATTGGCAAGTGAAGGCAGCGGAGCTCTGGTTCACGTCTCATCCCTGACAAGGGAGGCTGCACGAGACTGTAACCACAATCTCCTGCCTGTTGGTGTGGGCCTGAGTATCAGGAAGGGGGACAGCTTATCAGCAACGCATTCTGATGGTGACCGAATGTGAAATAACCTCCTAGTCATTTACAAAGTGCTCATGAGATGGAGTGTGACACCCTGGGACAGTGGAACATAGCAGAGGCTGAAGAGCCACTTGGTGCCTGCTCATGGACACACCTTGGGAAAGATCAGAACACCCCTGTGACATTGACAAATCGATAGAAACAGCTTTAAAATTACATTTTCCACAAAACACTGAAGCAGCAGTAAAGAAAAGACAAAAGCTTTGGACTGGAAGGTTGCACATCAAACTGCCTCAACTTTGTGCTTTGAGAAATAAAACTGAATACAGGCTGATCAGATAAAGGCTGGGAGGGGAGGGGCAGCGAGAATAAAGCTGGGGTCCTTTCATGACTTGTTGGGAAAGTTTCTCTTGCAAAGATAAATTATTCTAGAATTCAAGGTCATGGAAATCAGCATGGTGAGGCTGAAGCCTCCAGAGGGCAGCAGGGCAAACTCAATAACCTGAAACTCAGATTGTGCAGGAATGTTTTGTGGCTTTCCTACGCTACCTGAGCTGCTGCAGACAAAACAGAACACTGATGACAGTGAAGAGGAGAAAGTTACCCTGCTCTTCTCACCTCACACTTTATGAAGTGAAAAGTTGTCAGTATCTGCAAGACAGGAGATGGCACCACCAGAAAGCAACACCAGAAGATACAGGCAGCACACCTAGCTACTGTAAAAGCGTCGGTGCCCCGTGGCTGCCTAGGTTCCCACACACCCTGCAGTGCTGGGCTCGCGACCTGGAGCCTGTCTCCAAGCTCCCTCACAGGACCAGTTCATACCAGGAGTCTCCTGACACTGGCAAAAAGGTGAAGATGTTGGAGAGCACAAGAAGCAGTGCAGCATTAACCCCAAGGAACGGAGAATCAACCTTGCAGTGCTCCCTTCTCACCAAACGTTATGGTGCTCATGGCCACAGTCCGGGGCACGGGAGATGACCTGCACCGCTCTGCCTTCAAGGTCCTGCAGACTTAGGGTGCCATCCCCTGATGCCACATAAAGCTTCACTGCCTCGTAAGGACTGAACCTGATGTCTCCGAGAGAATCTCCTGGCCCTTTCTGGAATACACACAAAGCCCAGAGGTGTCAAGGTTAGAGTGGAAGACAAAATCTTGATACAACGCTCATCTCCTGGAACACACTGCCAGTTTCCCTCGGCACAACACACTGCTTTCTGACAGGGCATGTACATAAGAACTCTTTTTTCCTAATCTGTTTCCAATCTCGGCCCATACATTCTGAGCCTCTAAACTCAACCCCACCACTGCAGGCTGCAAACCTCATTAGCAGCATTGCTTCTTCTGCTATGGGGGTAGGACTAATCTGCAGGGAACTACCTGGCTCAGACCAGGCTTGGGAGATCACAACCAAACCTAGCACCGTTCCGTGCAGAAACCACACAAAATCTCATGACAGCCCTACACCAAGCTTTTCTTACAGAGACTTCATTCACCAGTTCCCTATAGGCTGCTTCCAGTGCTGTATCTGGTCTTTCTCAAGGTACCAGCAGGCAAAATGAGAGCGGTGCAAGGAGAAATCCTACTGCTAACCCCGTGGCACAGGCATCTTATGTTCTGTGTCATGTCACATTGGGTTTGTATTATGTTGTTTTGTTATGTTGTTTTCCCCCAATCTGTCTACTGAGGAAACGTGGAAACCCTACACAAAGACAGAAAAGGATGCTGGATGGGAGTCCCCAGACTCCCTGACACTCAAGTGCACTCCATCTGCTGCTCACAGAGCAAAGTTTCACTCTAACTACTAGATTTCAAGAAGCCAATGAAGATAAAAAAGGCCCGCCCGCAGAGCCTGCCTGTCCTCACAGCAGTAGGAGGAGGATGGCATGCCCTTTCAAAGCCAGGCATCGTGGCTGTGGCAGGCATCCCCCTGGGATATAAGATCCTCGTGTCCCAGGCCTGGTCTATCCCTCCTTGCTCACCTGGCCAGTCATCCCAGCACTACTTGGGTTCACCTTCTGCCCTGTTACAAGGTTGCAGCTGGAACAGCCAATTTGGAAAACCAACCATGGAAGTCGCCACACGGAAAGAATCAGGTGGGGGAAAGCAAAGGGAAGGCTAACCCAAATTCCCTCACTTACCTCTAAGCACTGAACTGAAGTAACTAATTGAAGAGTTCAGGCTTCCTCATGAGTCCGCAAGCAACAGTCTGAGAGGGTGATTCTAAGCACAGGCAGACAGAGCTGCCTCTAGTGATTCATCTCCTCTTTCCACTCATTACAGAAGGAGCCTAGATTCTTAATTTCAGTATTTTAGATAAGCACCAAAGGTTGGGGGGGGGTGGGGGGTTGAACTGGGGTGATCCTTATGACACATACCACGAAGTCAGTGGTGTTTGTGGAGAAGCACTGAGGGGACTATAAATTGTGCTGTAAAAACCATCTGACAAGGAGCAGCACTGCTAACAGGTGAAGAGGTTAGAAGGTCCCCAGGGCACAGAGCTATGGGAGGTTTAAGAACAGACAGCTGAGGAAATCCACTGGCACCCCCACGCTCTCCCATCTTTAACAGCAAGTAAACAGCATCAAGGAGTCCCTCCCCTTCACGAAGGGCTCTCCTACCCACCACCCCGTTTCAGGGAAAAAGAAAAAGGGAAAGTGAGCCTCCCTGGAAAAGAGAGGATCCTTGAAATTCAGAGGATAGAGAACATATATGTGGAGAAGAGGAAGCCCAGCTCCCACATATTTTAGACAAACATATCTCTCTCTCTCTCTCTGTAGCGCTCCTGCCAGCAGGACACAGAGGCCCAAAGCATTGCTGTTATTTCTTACTCCCAGTCCTCGGTGCTGGTGAAGACCCGGACAGTATTGCCATTAAAATCCTGCAGGGTGGTAGTGCCGGCAACTGACGAAGTGTACAGCTGACTAGGGTTAAAAGGGTTAAACTTCATTCCTGTGATGGCCCCTCCAGCTCCCATCTACAAGGAAGGGGATGAACAAAAGAAAAATCCACTGAGTGATGGGGAAGGAGAAAAGTGTGTTCTCTAAGTCTGCATTCACTGCTATCTCCTTAACAGCAACAGTGAAACACACCACAGCCCTTCAAGGAGGCAAAGACAACCATGCCTTCCCACGTGATGGCTGCCTAGACAGCTGCCCTCCCGGAGGACAAAACTGCAACTCCTTCAGTCTCCAGGCAATGTATTCCCTGGCTGGCTGGCACCACGCTATTTCCAAAAAAAGAGAAAGATGACTCTGGAATTTCTGGAGGGTAGACCTCCACCCAGTGTACACCCATTTTAATTTAGAGGAGTTAAAAGTTACAGAGTCTTTGAGCCTCTGTCGGAAGGGGAATGACTAAATACAGCAATGAGGGGGCATGCCAGCTCTATAAACCATTCATGCTACCTTAATTTCTCACTTTAAATAAAGGGACTTTGTTTCTCCCCACTCAAAGACGTTTCCTCATCTGACACAGAATAAAAGGTGAGCAGAGAAAGATCCAAGACCTAAACCAGACTGACCCTCTCTGTCTCATTGTTTCTGGCATCCCTTTAAGATAACTGTTTTGCCAGTTGCTGTATTATTTTTCCACGGATCACACACCAAGTACTGCTTCATTATAAACTTAATCTAACACGGCCCAGTTCTCCCCAGCACTAGAACAGTCTGGGACTGAGGAACAGACGTGCTGCTGCAGCTCAGTCCTGCCCCATACAGCTGGCTACTCTGCAACCCAAGGCCCTTATGCGCTTCTCACAACAGACCTCAGTTTTGACCTGCAGTATTTGGTGGTGCTCCAGTTTTCCCTCCCACCCATCCCACACACGCAGAGGCTTACCCCTTTTATGAAGCAGGTTTTAGTAAGTACTTCATAGTCCCAAAGGATGATGTCTCCACCTTTGGAACCAACAGCTACAGTACTGGGGTGTGTTGGATGCCATTCCAGGCATGTCACTCTCCTGTCAAAGGGACTTGCTGTTCGAAAGAGGCGGTACGAGGCAAGAGAACGCAGAAAGGGCAGCTGCAAGCACTGTTGAAAAGATAAAGAGAATTATGACTTTTGCAGGGATCCCCAAGGTTCTTTGAATGAGTAGTGCTAATAACTGCTAATTGTCATCAGCGTTAGTACATTCACACAAAATTCTAAGCCTCTCTGCAGAATGAAGAGAACATGCTGTCCCCAAGGGAAGGCCTGTGGCCACACAAATCCACACCAGCCACAGCACTCAGAAAGCAACAGAGGACTGAGAGGTATCACACTTTAAATGATGTACAGGGAACTAAGCCTCGTGGGCTGAGCTAAAAAGGCAGAATAATTAACAACGGAGAAGAACATGCCTCCACAGCAGTGAAAGGCACTTACGACTATCTGTGTCTTTACTGAGCATCCCAAAATGTTACACATCATCCAGACATACAATATTACACTCCTCCATCCAAACTGCCTGCAGCTCAACTATACAGCGTAAGAGTGAACAGAACACGTGAAACAGGGAATGAGAAACCATGACATGACTGTATTGTTATTCATCTGAGGAATAGGTACTGCCCAGGTGAACTTGGTGATTTTTTTTATCATTTGGATATTTAAAACAGATAAATCACCTGGAAGATAAAGCTAGACCAGGCACTTCCCACCTACAGATGTTATAGAAAAAGTTAATTTTCAAATGAAAGAAGGAGTATGGCTCTGAAAAACAGCAAAACGCTACGGACTTGGTGGAGTATGTCTGTGAAGAGGACAAATCAACACTAAACCTGACACGATTAGTGGAGCGGATACAAAAATAGTACGACAAAACATTCAGATCAGCGTGCAAAAGTAGCACTGTGCAACAACTCAACTGGTAGAGTGGGTAAGTTTAAATATGATTCAAGGAAGCACAGAATTAACAGAGGATAAAATACAGAGTGACAGGACCGGGTCAACCGAAAGGGAAAGCCATCTCAGCTCCTGCATTTCACAGGATTACGAAACATAAGGGTGCACCAGACTTGCAGCCACAAACTGTGTATGTGAGGAACTTTAAGCTCCTTTAAAGTTTCCCTGCTCGTGTGGAAGATGTTTTTATGCAGTGAGCTGAGATGTCCAACAGGTCACGAAGGAGAAACTTCTCACCTGCCTGAGCTGTGCCCGAATGGAGCCTCCCAGCATGTTCTGGTAGACATAATGGACAATGCTGCACTGCCGCTCCAGCTGATGGAAAAGGACTCTGTTGTTTCTCACCACAGACCCATCTCTGCTCCAACCTGCCAGAGAGGGAAAGAGTAAAACTTACCGAAAGCCAACACCCAGCATGCTCATTCACTAAACATGGGAAGATGTCTGCATTTGCTGCTACATCCATGAAAAGCTTCAGCCACAAAATAAAAGTCTCTAAATGCCTCATACATGTCTAAGGTGCAGCAGCCCCTGCAAATATGGAGTCCCGTGCTTCCCACACCTGCCAGAGCTTTGTGTGTGCTTCCTCCTGTTAAACCTTCCTTCTCTTTGCCTAAGATTTATCAAAAAGACAACAGGAGAAGACTAAAGCAATGCCATGGGTGGTGCACCTCTTGGACAGTATACAATCCGAGTGGTTCATACCCAAAATACAACAAAGCTATCCAAAGCCCAAACAACTTGGAAATACGCCATGGGAGGCGGTAAGCCCCTGGGTACAGCAAAGGGAAGGTCAGACATGTGACCAGCAGAAACGTTAACACCTGAAAATTCCCCAAGCGTAGCAACATGAGTTCCCACACAGTTCCTGAAATGCCTGCTTGTGAATCAGAATTTTCGATCTGCTTGTGCTGTAGTCCGTACAGCCTGCCTACCGCACTGCGAGTTTTGTTTTTGATAATAGACTTGCTGACGCCTCATCGCCTGAAAACCTTTCTGTTCGGAGTCATTTTTGCTGAGAGTACAGCACGGTTCTGCATTTTGTTCATGTTCCAAGTTTTTATCTTCAGGGACCTTCACATGAAAACTGGATCCGTTCAGTCCCGTGTCTGTGATCTAATCATCCCCACGGCAATGGTCTGTAACACCCCAGCGGATCTAGACGTCAAACGCATTTCTTAAGAAACAAAAATGGTATTTTCATTGAAGGACATTTATAAAAAAAAACCCAGGAGACTGAAAACACAGGGATCATTCTGTATGCTTAGAACCTAAACTAAATCTTTCTTTAATGCAACACTGGAGCCTAAAATACACAGGTATGAAGCTAAACTTCTTTGTTCACATGCCAACATAGTGCCAAGGTTTGTCACACCTGCTGAAATAGGTATAAAAGTATTTATATTCTCATTCCTTTTTTTCACATAAGAATTAGCATCCACAGTTCCTTCTTCAGAAGTGGCAGAAATTGAGGTATTTTTTCCAAATTCCATTTTATTATGAAGGATAATTTATTAAGAAACAAACTTTAAGACTTTGCAGAATCTGCTGGAAGAAACCCTTTAAAAAGGTGTTTCAACTGCAAGAAACTGAACCTGACTCCTGGCCTCAGGAGAAAAAAAAAAGTATTTTTTCCAAAACATGTAAGAATCAAAACTGGAGCACAGAATAGAAAAGCTCAAATACAAAGGTCTTCCTCTTTTTAAAAGGTTTAAGGGAAAAATACGATTTGCCTCCTTTTCCCAAAGTACTAGCTACATCCAATTCCCTTTGAATCTTACAGGAACTGCAGACGCTTACCACATCTGAAAACCAGGCTAGGAAGTTACAGTGAAAATCATGTAGCTAAATTAACTACAGAAGATGCTTCAACTATCCACAACTATACACAGAACTCCTTTCAGAGTATTTTGCCTCCACATCCACTATTCACATTGCCAACTGCTCCAGGTTTGGAGTTATACACCAGACAATGGAAACGTACAAAATTGTGGAACTCCTGTTACCTCTGCTGAAAAACACTTCAGTAATTTCTGGATCCTTAAAGCCAAATTTGTACAGAAAGCGTGTACTATTTCCACACAAGGCAGTAACTCCAGTGATCTCTTAAACAAACAATGGAATTAGGTTTTGTCTGAGAAAAGGAGGCTGAGGGGAAACCTTATCGCTATCTGCAACTACCTGAAAGGAAGGTGTAGCGAGGTGGGGGTCGGTCTCTTCTCCCAAGTCACAAGTGATAGGAAAAGGCCTCAAGTTGCGCCAGGGGAGGCTTAAATTGGAGATTAAGTGATTATGCTGAATTTCTTCACCAAAAGGGTTGTCAAGCACTGGAACAGGCTGCCCATGGAAGTGGTGGAGTCACCATCCCTCAAAGTATTTAAAAGACACGTAGATGTGATGCTTAGGGACATGGTTTAGTGGTGGACTTGGCAGTGCTAGGTTAACAGTTGAACCTGATGATCTTAAGGATCTTTTCCAACTTAACTGATTCAATAATTCTATCAAAATAGTCCTTAGCTGAAGTCTACACAACTTTCTTGATAATGGAAAGCATTAACCTTTCCATTATCTTGGAACTTAATCACTTCTCCTCGTTATATCAAAAATCCTTAAGGTATTCTTTTTTAAAAGTTACATACCAAAGGAAAAAAAGTGCACATGAGGAGAAGTGATTAGTGGAAATTCTGTCCGGTCTAATCTAAACACAGAGGTAGAAAGTTATTCCTAATGTAGCAAAAGTTAGAATATGCAAAGAATCAGGTGGAAATGCCAGTTTAGACTGCATCCTGTAGGATACCAACCTTACGACTATAAAACTGCATTAAGGATTGCATGGGAGAAAAATCAATGTATTACCAAGATTGGTCTGTCCTGCAATAAAGCAGGCGTCTGGTATTTCAGCAATTCCACAAAACTTACCCACCCTCAAATGAGCTGTGACAGCATCTTAGGTGAGCAGGTTCCTACCAATGGATCCGGAGTCTCAAAAATGAAACACACATGCATGTGCACACACGCACACACACTCACTAGACAGATAACTGGAGGACGTACTACCCCAATACATGTTCATGTATCAAATATATAAGCCCATCTGTACACTCATGTCTGAACGTGCTTCTTGGCATTCTCCCTCTTCAACTAGTCGATGCCTGTCATTTAAGGTAAATCTGGTTAGGAGAAACAGTAAGGATCTGAGGAAATGTTACCGATTTTCTCTGGGGGTTTGGATGTTTTTTTCAGAAACAACCTCTTTGCCAGTGGCTCATTCCCTAGTTCCTTGTGGTCCAGTTTCCTCTTCCCAGCTGATTTTGCCTCTTCGGGCCAGTGCTCATGTGCCCTCTCATGCTTCTTGTCCTTTGGCTGGTTCACTGGAGCCATTCTGTCTGACCGCTAAAAGCAAACAAAGCATGGAAGGTAAGACCATCATACACTTTTAACTCGAGGACAGAGAGGAAAACTGGAATGAAACATATCCCAGCGGTCTGAAAGCAGTGATTATACCTGTAACCTCTTTCATCAGCATGACACTAGCTTTTTGTTGTGCTCTGCTGGAGAGGGGAACAGGTTCCATAAACTCTTCTTTGTTCACATATGAAAATGAACGCATCCTAAAGCATTAGAATATGTTTTGACAGATGTGCTTCTCACTGAACTTTTAAGCTTAAAACCCACAGATCTGCATAAAGTACATCTGTGAAACCACATAATAGCCTAACTGTTTCTCATGTCGCTCACACTGAGCTCTTTAGATTCAGCTAAGAAAAAGGTCAGAGCTTTTACGACGTTGGCCAGGGCTGACTGGTCTTCCACCAACTAAGCTCAGAAGGTACTTCCTATTTAACGGCAGCTTTTCCGCACAACCACCACCTGATATTTAGATCGGGCTGCATCCACGGGCTGGCGTGCACCGCTCTTCCCACCAGCGGCGGGACGCAGCCACTCGTGTCTCGCATTACGCCGACCAAAACACCTCCGGGCCCCCGAGGAAAGGCGCGGGCCTCCCACGGCCACCGCCGGCGGGCGAGGCGTCACCCGCCGCCTGCCCCCACAGCCTCCACCCCCGGGGAGATCCTCCGCTACGAGCGTCCTCCAGGCTGATCCCCTGCGAGCGCTGAGCTTATTTATAACTCGGGAATGGCTGTAAGGCTCTCCGCCCGGCTTAAATATAGCTCGGCACCCAACCCAGCCAGCTCCCCCACAGAGCGCCCACCCCCTCGCCTCACCCGGCCGCCCCTCAGGGCGGCGGCCCCGCCGGTTCCCGCCGCCGGGCCTGGGCGGGAAGGGCCGCCCCGCTCTCACCTGCGCTGCGGCGGCCTCCGCTCCCCCGGCGCGGCCGAGGACGGCGGGCGGCAGCCGGCCCCTCCCCCGGCGGTTTCATAACCGGGGCGGGAAGCGTGAGGCGGAGAGAGGGAGCGGGGGGGCCGCGGCTCCCGGGTGCGGCCTGCTCGGTCCCCGCCGGCCCTTCGCCGCTGAGGGGCAGCGGCCGAGCCCGGCGGTGCCGCCCCCCCACCGCCCTCACCCCAAGGCCGCGCGGGGTCCCTCGGTTGCTTTCCTGCCGTCGTATTTTCTTTCTTTTTTTTTTTTTTTTTTTTTTTGTGGGGCAGGACTTGCAGCCTTCCGTACTTGATTAGTTTCTAGGGCGCCCCGGACCGGCGTGTTAATTAAAGCGGGGCGGTAAGGGCGCAAAATACAGCAACCGAAAGGAAAAGGCGGTGTTTCAAAACACAGCTTCCACAGAAAGATGCACCTGGTGTTACAACTCACCAGGAGGGAAAAAAAAAAAAAAAAAAACAAAAAACACTCTAGAGGCAGATTAAAAAGTCACGGCAAGATCAGCTCGGAGATAACCAGCTCCTCCATGATGAAGCGGACAAGAATGGGGAAGAAGAGCCCTACCAAGGCGGCTGGAGGTACCAGCTCTGGCCCCTTCACCTGCGAGGGGGGTGGTCGGGCCCAACAGGGACACTGCTGAGGAATTAAGGTCCTGTTACCCAGTCCTAAAATACCTGTTCATAACCACTCCTTGAACTGTGGGGCTTTAGGGGTTGGGTGTTGGATTTTTTTTTTTTCTTTTTTCCCACAATAACTATAGTTACTCATGCATTTTCTCACATATTAGGAAATGCATAGAAAAACTACTAAGAACAACAAAGATCCAGCTCCTGTGATTTTCTCCTGAACTGTAATAACAGCTGCTGCCATCCTGAGTATTAGAATGACACACAGAAAAAATGATAACCACCAACAGACAACACAAGCTGCTTTTGAACACGTACGTCAACCCAGTTAGCAAATCTTAAAGTCTTATCGAGCACTTCTGTAACATGCAACATTCTTCTTAGAACTGTATCCACTGGCAAAAAAAACAGCGAGAGGAATAAATTAACGTAGCACTTTTCTTCTTCCCTCTGAAGCCTCAAAGGCTTGATTTCCAGGAAGTGAAACTACTACAGAAAAAGGTGCTTTTTATCTTGACAGTGATCAACAGTTTCGGCCATAGGTCTGTAGAAGTCCCCATCACTGGAAACAGAATCTATGGAGTTCATCAGGAATCTCCAACAAAACACCAATTAAATTACAAAAATCTTAATATATTTTGGTTTTCATAGGCTTTAAAAGGGTTACATTTCAAAATTTATAACTGAAAAAAGGGGCCCAGATACCAACCTTCTTAAAGTAGACTGAAAGACCTGTATCGATTCCGATGTTCGGTGTATTAATCCCGAAGAAAACTCTAGCAGTGTTATCCGCGTTATCTCCAGCAAAGACGTGCGCTTTCTGTCCCTGCTCCATTTGTCTCCCAGCAGTAGCATCCCTGTGCAGAGGACATACACAGTGACCAACATGTTTCCCTCTTGGAACTATCACAGTTAGCATTTTTTAGAATAGAAATAGAAATAGAATAGAATAGAAAAAGAAATAGAAATAGAAATAGAAATAGAAATAGAAATAGAAATAGAAATAGAAATAGAAATAGAATAGTTCGTTTGGAAGGCACCTACAATGATCATCCAGTCCAACTGCCTGACCACTTCAGGGCTGGCCAAGTCAAAGCACGTTATTAAGGACATTGTCCAAATGCCTTTTAAACACTGACAGGCTTGGGGCATCGACCTCCTCTCTAGGAAGCTTGTTCCAGGGTTTGACCACCCTCTCGGTAAGGAAATGCTTCATAATGTCCAGTCTGAACCTCCCCTCGTGCAGCTCTGAACCATTCCCACATGTCCTGGCTCTGGATCCCAGGGAGAAGAGCTCAGCACCCCCCTCTCCACGTCCCCTCCTCAGGAAGCTGTAGAGAGGCATGAGGTCGCCCCTCAGCCATTCCAAACTCTAGACACATTTGAGGACCTTAACATCCTTCTTAAATGGTGGGGCCCAGAACTGCACACAGTACTCAAGGTGAGGCTGCACCAGTGCTAAACACAGCACGCTAAATACTGTAATTTTATCAATTACTAACACCAAGTTTGCTTTCTCTCTAGAGAATCACCAGATATTTTTGTAATTATTATTCACTGAGGACAAGAATAGCAGATAGCACACAAATCACGCACAGAAGAAAAGCCACTGGCCTGGTGTGACACAGCTCAGTGTACGGTACACTGAGCAAGCCAGAGAAAGACTAATTTGAAAAAATATTCTTCTATGTATTTGCAGACTCACACTCTTCGAACTACAGTACGCAGCAAAGTCACAGGACTATGATTATGCATGGGTAGGATATTAGGCTTATTTTTATGATGCCTTTTGTCTGACATACAATTATGTTGAGGCTCAGTCTTAGTTAGGAACATGGTTCTCTACTGCAGAATAAAGCTGTCTTGTCACTGGGTCTGGTAAAGCTATATTGTGACTGAGATGATCAACTTCATGGTATTTGTAATACCATTAGATATTCTTTTTCCTTGTTGCCAGGATCTTTGTCCAAAGCATTAATATTTTTGGCTATTTCAGTCTGACTACTAATGTGAAAAGTACCATTAGCAACTCGAGTTTGGCATGCGTATGAAAACAAGCCTGTATTCCACTAAAAAATAGGAAAAAAATATATAACCCTAAAGAGATAAAAGAGTAAATATCATGCTGTCTGACCTTTTTCTATCCCATGACCATTACTAAGCTGCCTTGCACCAGGAAAAGGAACAAAATTATCACTATTGCAATGACCTCGTTTATCTATGGACCCCATTTTCCCTAAATTGAAAGCATGCCAAATTTGATTTCCCAAATTGAAAGCATTCATCTTGGATGCTCAGCTCATGGGCTATCAGTACCAACATCAGCATGAGAACATAACATAGGACAAATGCTGGATATAGAATATTAATGTGTGAGAGATGTTTGCCTGTTCTGTACTTCATTAACGTACATACATCAATTTGATAATGGAAGTAAAATCTCAGAATTGAATTGGAGGATATCTATGCCAAAGAGTTGGTTTTGTTTTGGTAAAATACAAAGTTGATGCTTATACTCTCAGCTGTGATTAACTCTGAGGACACGATAAGCATCTTTCATCACTTTTTGAAAGAATGCCCATGGTCACACCACACCCTGTCATGGGTGCCCACCTTCCCGCGACCCCATGCAGGTAAAAGTGAACAGAGGATTAACCCCAAAACAAATGGGATGGTTTCTAGTGTTTACTTTCCAACACAGCAATTCATCGTATCTGAACAGCATCAATACAGGTTTTTTTTCTGGCTCCTATGAAACCTGGGGCAGTTGTAAAGACAGCAAAAACATCCCAGTACTGCTCCAGAGAAGAGCACAGATTTACCGCATGCTCTTTCCTCTCTTCCTCCTGCGAGGCTCAGTCTTTCCTTTCTCCACAGACTGAATAAACATCCCTGCAAAGCCACAGCTGGTCCTTGGAGTTCTGTCCCGAGTCACTTGGAAGCAGTGAAGAGGAGATGGGCCAGCCAGGCCTCCCGGCGCTCCTGCTGCAAGCCCTGCCCCAGCGTCACGGGGAATCGCACCCAGGGCCTGGCAGTAGAAATGGAAACTCTGGCGGGCAAACTCCCCGGCAGTTAAGAAAAAGCTGGTTTCAACCAAGAGTCTCTTAGGGGCTTAAAAGATGAGGCCTAGATTATTCAGATAAAGGTTTTCAGAGGAAAGGGAGAGCGACTGAATAGAGTTAGGGGGGTCGGGCTGGAAGAGAAAGAAGGTTGCCAAGCCAAACTGAGGCAAAGCTGCTCCCCATCCCCAGGCGGAGCGACCCCACGCCACGCTCAGAAGTGAGGGCACAGCTCTCTGCTGGGGTGGGAGCGGGGCTCCTGCTCCAGCACACCAGGCCAGCACACGAAATAACTAACTAAAAACTCACTGGAACACCCCCACCCACCCACCCACTCCAAAATCCAGTGGGCAACAACACAGAGACAGAGCCCAACTCCTCAGGTGTGGGCCGAGCGTCGCCCCGGGCGGGCAGCTCCCCACACGGCCGCCTGCCGTGACTGGGGCGGGGCGAGGAGGGACCCCCGGCCAGGGCCGGGGCTCCCCCCGGGGAAGCGGGGAGCCCCCAGACCCCTTCCCGGTGGAGGGAGAACCGCGGCGGGAACCGGCGCCGCCCGCCCCCCCGGCCCCACCTGCCTGGGCAGAGCCGTCTCGGCGGCGGCGGCCGCTCGGTAATTGGATCAAAGAGCCCGGCGGGGGGCGGGGGGCGGGGGGCGGGAGCCGGGCCGGAGCTGCCCCGCTGCCGCCGGAGCGCCCCGGGCCGGGCCCGCCCCACCGGGGCGGGACGGGCCGGGCCGGGACCCCCCTGTCCCGCGGTTGAAATAGGGGGAGGGCTCGGCCCGCTCCCAGCCCAGGTGGCCGCCGCTAGCCGCGCCGAGCCGAGCCGAGCCGAGCCGAGCCGAGCCGCCTGCGAGGTAAGCGGCACGCCTTTCGGACCCGTTCCCCCTGGGGTCCCGCCGCCTCGGGCTCCGGGAGGCGCTGGCAGCTGCGAGGGGAAAACTTTCCTCATGGAAAGGGGGCGGGTGGGGGGAGGCGGTGCCCGGCCGGGCGCTGCCTGTGGGCAAAAGGGGGATCGGGAGGCGGCTCGGCGCGGTTTCGGCTTGAGGCAGAACGGGGACACCCACCCACCCCCCAAATCTTCCGCCGGTAGGCGCGGGGGGGGGAGGGAGCGGCGGCGCTGAAGGGCTTGGGGGGGGGGGGGTGGGGGAGCGATGGGTCCGCGGTCCCCGGCAGGTTGTTGTTGTTGTTGGGGGGGGGGTCTCCGGTCCCTCCGCGCCCCTTAGAGCCTGACCTTCAGCGGGTGTCCCGCAGCCGGCCTGCCGCCGCGGGCTGTGGAGTCTCTCCCCTCCTTCCCTCCTTCCCTCCCTCCGGAGCCAGCGCCTCCGCTCCGCGGCGGGGACAGGGGCCCCTTTGTGCCGGAGCCGCGCTGAGCCGCTTCCCACTCTGAAACCGGAGCCGCGGCCGCTGGCAGCGCTGTGGCGGAGGGGGGTAAAGCGGATTCCCGGGACCCTCCCCCCCCACCCCAGCGTTGGGGGGGGGGGGGGGGGGGAAGGCGCCTCGCTGGGGCTTGGGCTGGGCGGGGGGATGCACCCCCTTGTCTGAGGAATTGGGGTCCGGGTTGTCGGGCGATGAGCCGGGCCGGAGGGAGGGGGACGGCGAAACGGGACAGTCCTGGCCTCGCTCGGCCCCTTCCTCCCCTTTTGGGGTGAGGGAGGGGGGAGCAGGGCGGGGGGCAGGCCGGGGGGGGGCTGCGGCTGTGTCGCCTGGCCCCTGGCAGGCTGCTGGGGGTCACCATGTCCTCTCCGGCCCAGGGCAGGAAAAAAAAGCTGATAAACATGGAGGGTATTAGTGGGCCTGAACATCCAGTGCTCGAGAAGACAGTCTATGATTTGTCACCACACGCGGGAGGAGGGATCCGTGATCCCGGCAAAGCGATTGATAAGCGAAGCGAGCGTGGCCCAAACGCGTTAACCAGTTTCTCCACTTTCTGTGCCAACTATGTGTTCTTCGCTTGCTTCAGTTCTTCGGGCTTGCCGAAGGCTCGGAGCTTGGTGGTGAGGGGGAGGTTAGCTGACCCCCTCCGGACACTTGCTCCTGGCCCTAGGAAGCAGTCTGGCCTTTTCGTTCACTCTTTAACTCTCCTCACCCAACCGACGCGCTCCTCACCCCCTGAAACGGGAGATGAGCCTCTCCCCGCTTCAGATCAACCACTGGTCTAATTGGCTCAAAGGAATTTCCGATACGATGGCAACTGATTGCAGTACAGAACTCTCACAGAGCCTCCCACTCCACCCTGGAATTCAGATGTCACCAAGAAGTCACTCGCGATGACTCAAGTTGTTCTTGGTGCATAATGGGAGCAGAATGCTAAAATGACAGGGACCAGATACTCCTCGCTCCAGGTGTGAGCTGGTCTCTGGGCGGAGGCAAAGTGGAGCTTCTCCCGGTGCGTTGCACAACTGGGCACGCTCTTTTGGGCAAGGATTCGCTTCTCCGCGAAGTGCGCTACGTGCTCTGTGTGAGATGGAGTCTGTTCTGCTTTGACAGTGGTTTGTGTTCTTAATGGTATTTCACTCGAAGTTCCCTAAAATATTTACTAGATTGTCCTTTGAGTTGCAGCTCGGAACAGAATGAATGTGCTGCGAGCTGGGTCAGCTGCTTGCTGCCTTCCCTGTTCCGTGCCTGCTGTACTATATTGCTTTACTGGCTTTTTTGCCTTTCTTTTTTTTTTTTTTTTTTCTTCTGACCTATGAGTTTGAGGTTCTCTGGCTTGCCTGCACTTGTTTGGGTGAAGACTGTCATCTTCTCAGGCTGCAAAAAGCAGTAACTTCAGTGTGTCAGCTGTGTATAGGCCTGAGAACAACTGCCCACCTGGAATTCCATCATCAAATGTCAGTGAGTGAATAAGGATTGTGTGTGACTGGACTGTGCCAAAATGCCGTAGGTCCTTGGCAGACTGTGTGCGTAACCAAGTCATAAAAGTCTGAAAATCGTATGGACCTAAATTCATTTATTCATAGGACAATAACTGGTGATTTTAGTCATTTTAGGTTATTGTGGATTATACAAGAGATAGCCTGAATCTTCTGTGATTTCCCTGGATGACCATAAGTTTACAAAAAAAAAAAAAAAAGTGTGTGTGTGTCTATATATATATATTTATTTATATCTACCCTTTTTTTTTAATTCAACAATACAGTCAGGTATATTTGTAATGGGAGCAATTTTCTCAGGAGATACAAACCTATGAGAACACACTAGTCACTGCCCCAGGGGCAACATGAGCTTCTGTTAGGGTCTCATATGGTATCACGGAGTGTGGTAAAATATGGTATATTTTTTATTCTGGCCATCTTGAGGGCTGGAGATTATTCAGTTGTTGTTTAACCTATTTGGTCTGTGTCATGGCTGGCATCCAGGGGGACCTCAGAAGCTAAAAGTATCTGCCTGTAGCCTAAGTGGAAGAAGCTATGCTCTTGATCAGAGAGCATTAATAAACTGCCTCTATTTTTGCCATCAGCTAATCAGTGATGTGTGAATTTGGGCTGCTCTTGAGAGTTCATGGGGAAATGCCTAAACAATAGGAGGGCTGTTTAAACCCTTTGAGGGACTCTTATCTTTTTAAAACAGGCTTTGTGATCAGACAAGCTATTTTATCACTAGTTACTCAGTATGATGGGTGTCGAGGGTACTGTATGACAGGGAGCTGTGTCATATAGATTAAAAAAAAAAAAGCCTTAATGTCTTAGTCTAAGGCCTTAGTGGGTGGGACAGAAACAGCGACTACTGTATCTTGGAGTTTTCATGAAGAATTCGGGATTTTTCTCTTCTGAAGAATAACAGAAGAACTCTGCATCCTGGGAGCAGTTAAAAAGCTGTTCAAGAGGTAGCTTTTTGCTGCTACCTTGCGGCATGGTGACCACTGTAATTTAACATCCAAATCCACTCTGTCTGGCCACAAGTTATTCCAGCAGCACAGAGTGTAACGTCAGTGCAAAGAGCCTGGTGCGTCCTCTGCTGTAATCATCCAGCTTTGTTTCAGTGGCCACTCCACTAGTTTCATGTTCCTTCAAGCTGAAATGTGGGCTGAAGCTGGGTGCTGGCTAGAAGGCAATATGTGTGACCGGCATCCTAATCATATTTCAGCCTTCAGGGGTTTCTCCTCGCTGTGAATGGCACGATAGGAAAGAGTCTTTCAGACTTGTGATAGTCAGAATTGGTGCATTAAATCTAGTGGTTGTCACTGGGCATTGTAGTTTGTTAAAGAGGCATGTGAGAGATCTCCATGGTACCGGGGGCCTGGATCCAGGGGCATTAGGCTTGTGGGGGATTTTATGCTCTTGTAGTAGGTGACTCTGATAGGACTCTGTTTATTGTGACCTGTCAGTAAGTTTTTCCAGGCTAGAGGAGTTAAGAGTTGCTGCAGGCAGCCCACAACTAACAGTGTAGGCAAGTCTTCAGCCTCCTCGGTCCTGTCCATGCGATGAGCTTGCCCAAGCTGTGTCTCTCCTGTTTGCAGGAAGATATGGTCCTTACCTCCTGGGCTGCTGGGGACATGGTCAGTCTTTCCAGTCGCCTGTAGGCGATTATCTGTTGGCACTAACTTCCTCCTCCTTCAGTATCCCTGCTGCCAAGCCAAACTTTTCCTTCCCCTGAGAATGCCGAGCTGTGTCAGCTGCAGCACTGCTGTGTAGAGCTCTGAAGGAGGCTTGCTGCCTGCCTCTGACAAGGGCAAGAAGCTTTCATGGAGGACTGGGAGAAGATGCAGCGTATTTCACTTGGTGAAAGATTCTAGATATTTATTTTTCCTTCTTAGTGTTTTCAGTCAGCTTTTCCTTGTACTAGGACTGCTGATCTGTGAAAGCCTGCATTTGACTTCAGCAGGCTTCTATCTCAATCCAAGCAAAAAAACAGGGGTTTGAGCTGTGGGATAGGAGCTGCTTCAGGAAGCAGTTGGGGGGAAATAAAGCCCGCTGGATTGCTCTGTGCTTTCTGTTTAAAAAGCCTCACCATGTTCTTTCCTCCTGTGTCAGGCTGAGTTCTGAGGATCAGAAACTGAGATTATTGCTTTGGGCAACGGGCTGAGAAAGCAAATGACATTCCAGTGATGCTGAACAGTTAAAATCTATTCTGCAATGTGTGCCCTTTGGGCTGACGGTCCCATTTGCTTTTGTTCTCCTGGGGTCTTGTGGATAACACCTGGGATATGAAGTAATTTAATAGTCCAGTTCTTCAGCTTGAGGTCCAAAAATTGTTTTGAAGAGGCACTACTGACACCAAAAAGCAGATTCCATGCAGATAGTAGGAAAGTAGATAAAGGTTGCTCCATGACATGCAGGATAATGAAATTCAAGGAGAATGTGTGAATGATGAATTTCCACGGAGCAGGCCTAATGGCTGCCCTACTTCAACCTTGTTATCTGTGTGTGTCTGGGAAATCTGTCAGAAAGGCCTATGAGTATCTTTAGGAATGGAGTACCTACAAAGTGATTGAATCTGCCAAACTCTTCTTGAACCAGGAGATGCTACAAAGGCAATCTAAGTTATTGAATGTTCTCTCTAGTCCACAGAGCAAACGATGCTTTCTTTTTACATGCCTGGTCCCATAAAAGACTGTGTGAAATGACTCTGTGTAAAAGCTGGTCTATAGTCCTGCCAGCTCATATGGTACTGAAGTCTGCCTTACAGTTGCAGTTGATCTTTATGTTGTTTAGATATTCCTGTGAGGAAGCAATTGAGTAAACCTAGCTCTGGTGACAAAAGGTGAACAAAGAGCCTTGCCATCAAATTGGAGGAACTGACCACAATGTGGAACAGAAGCAATGGGTGTGATGCTTTCCCTCATTCTCCTCCTTTACCATAAGAGATGTCCTAGCACTCAATCTTACCTTGTTCAGCTCTCACTTCAGAAAGTTGGTTGCACTCACTTCTACAGCTTGTTTGGGACTCAGAACTGTGCAGGGAATCGGATGAACTTCAGAACCACCTTGATGATGATCTTCTTTCAGGTTCTTGTCTGTATTATATGAATAATTGGAAGGAAAGTGTTCCCATAATAAACAGTTTTAGTAAATCCGCTTTTACCAGGTAAACTCAGAAACCTGTTTGATGCAACTAGAGATAAAGAAATTCACTACTTTGAATTTATTGGCCATACGACTGCCACACACTTGGTCCGAATGACAAAATATTTGCCAACTCTATCTCCCACTCCCCCTTCCTCAAAAGACAGCTAATGGAAAAGACAAGCACTGGTGAAATGAAGCCAGCTGTAGAACTGCAGCTGGGTTAAAAAAACCACTGTGACTTCCAAATGGGAGGAAGGGGCAGAGAAGGCTGACTGGAGACAGCTGACTACTGTGCAGTCTAGCAAAGCAAGAAACCACCAGAAGATCCGTGTTAGGATGAAGCTGACTGGCTTGTGGCTCCTCTAAAGGTTGATTGATTGCATTGATTGCAGTCTGTTTCCTTAAGACTTCTTAATGCATTCAAGTAAACTTGATCCCTGCTCTGGGGGTTGCAGGGTGATTCAATCACAGAAGGAGAATATTCCATTGACAAGGATTTACAGGAGCTTGCTTTCCCCCCTCCCCACCCCCCCAACACCACAGAGAATATTTTCTCTCTTCTTTGCTCAAGCTTGGATGAGGCTGGGGCATTTTGTTCTGTTTGGATCACTGTTGTTCACATAAAGAGCTGAACAAAACTTTTTTACTCAAAGCCTGGTTGGAAGTGGGTGGACTGGCTCAGCCTGCTATTGCGATGGGTTACCTTTACTAAATTGTAGGCAACTGAGTTACAGGACAGACTGTTGGTCTTGTCTTGCCAGTCACTGAGTGCAGAAAAAACATGACCAAGTGAAAGGTAGGTTAAATCCTGGAAAAACTGTTTGCATTCAGTGTAGATCAAGAGTGCTGAGGAGGGGTATAATAGCTTTTGGCTGGAGCTTTAAACACCCATTTATCAGTGATTTAGGAAGAAATAGCTTCCAGTTGTTTGTAGTCCCTTCTGATTGAAAGGGAAGTGCTGATTGCATGTGTTAGCTGGCAAGCTTGGTGTTTATTTGCAGAGACTGGTGCGGCAGGGTAGGAAGTACCCTGGGAAGTACCCAGCCTGGAAGCAAACAAGGGAAGAGGCTCAGGGAGTGGGACAGTAGAGATGACAGGTTCTCAACATCTGCATCGTTACAGCATACACATAGGGATTATTCCAGCAACCATCTTGAACGTACCAAATGAACATGGCCTGTTACCCTGTTAGAGTATGGCACCCCATGGTCCAGCACTGGTCTCCTCCCTCCTTTAACTCTGTGGATACTTGAGATTGTAATCAAATTTTTCATAGGAAGAACAGTTGGGGAAAATCTTACACAGACCTCGATAGCCCAATACGTTCCTTCATTAATAGTCTCATGTTGTTGTGTTACCCAGGATAGCTCTGTGTTCCTGTAATACTAAAGATCTCCTACATCATGCTGGAAAATAAAGGAGAATTTTTCCTTTTCTTGGTGAAATAATTTATGCCTGGTAAAGCTATGTCAGTCAGGAATCAACCCTTAGGTCAGCAGCAATGTGTTGGTAGAAGCCTGTCTTTGTAGCCTTGGCCTCTCAGAACCTGACAGGGAATAGCTAATAAACGTGGAAAGCATTTAATTCTGAATGAACATTTTGAAAACAACTTGGGTAACGCATAGGGGCATGTCTGTCCTCGGTACTTTAGCTTGGTCTGAACGTGAAGAAGGCCCACCTAAAGAAGCTGTGGTCTGAAATAGGAGAGGGCAGTGAAGCAGTGTGTAGACTCAGGAGGTCAGCCCTCTGAGAGGAACAGGATCCTGTCTGTTTTTTAGTACTTCAGTATAATTACGGAGTATTTCGCTAGTGGACAGCCGCATGTTCTCTAGAGAATCATTGTCTGGGAGACGGGCTTCTGTTAAGGGCTTGCACGTAGCTGAAGTGACCTTTGTGTGTAGTTACTGTTCTGCCTGATGTCTCTCTGACCTCTCCCTGGCTGGAGAGATCAGCTGAACTCTTGCTCGAAACTGCATTAGGCAGCCCTGGCAGGCTTCAGTCCTTAGGGAGCGGCTGGGAAACACTGGCTCTGAGTCCCTGTCCCAGTCCGGTGACTACCAAGGGCGTGACCACAGCAATAAGATCAATATCTCTAAGGGATGTTTTGGAGGATCTTCATGTTACTTGGCATCCTCTCTAGCTGGAGAACTGGCCCCTCTTCAGAAAGGTGAGTACACCTGTAAATATTAGTCCTCCTGTATAATGGCAGTGCCCATACTGGGCATCGTTACAGTCACTGTTCAGAGCTATTGGATGTGCACCTCCAGAGATGGTGAGGCTGGAAAAGACACCCTGTCCCACGCCCCAGATCATTCTCTCCATCCGGGATCTCCCTAGCACTGCTGTACCAGCAGTAATCCAGTTCATTACACTGCTGGAGTCATGTGGAACCTCCTGGCTCCAGCTCTCTAGTTCCATTCTGACAACAAGTTAACAGGAAAAAAAAAAGAGGAGGGGGTGAATGGCTTCATATGTGTCATCCTGTAAGGGGAGGGGGGCTGTCATCCCTTTGTGTATTTGGATAGTTCAGATTGAAATGATTACCTGCAACCTACATCAGAAGTGCCTTGGAGCAAAAACAATACTTTCACCACTGCCTGCTGTACAGAAGAGTAACTCTGGGAATCAAACAAATTGGCCCCAGAAATCTCACATTGCTGCCTTGCGGTGTTAGTTGTTGTCTTGAGGTGGAAATTAGTAGCAGCCCATTCCTCAATAAAACTCTTGCTTAGCGTGACTTTAACACCTATATAGAAATTGGTACATAACAAAAACATGCTTCCACCAAAGCCTCGGTTACTATTACTACATAACTATAACTTGACTTGTTTCTCCATCTGTCTGCATCAACGTTTGCTGTTGCACTTGGGAAAGAGGAGAGGAGTTGGGCAGAAGGCCTTGTCTGGTGCAGTTATACAAGCTCTGTTTCTGTGGGTGAATTCCTGCATGCACCGGCCCTTTGAGCATTTGTTGAGTTCAGAGGCTTGTTCTTGGCAAACTTAAGAAAACAATTGTTCACAAAGTGGCTCAGGAGGCAGTCGAGCAGTGCACAGGAGTGATGCCTTGGGCACTTGGAGGCTGGAAGTACTGGAGTGTGGTGTAGATGGAAGAGGATCTGTGGTTTACTGGAGAAGAGTGATTATTACTCTCGGGTCTAGAAGTTTTATTTGTGGATCAGGAACCTGCTGTGCTTGTGTTGTGCAAACATGAAACAAAAAGGCATACCTTGTAGTGTGTTGTCAGATTCACACGTGTTTTGAAAGGGAAGGTTTTAGCGCGACACCTTGGTGGGAGGGCAGGGATCAGGGGTCTGAGATGTGTGACAGGAGCAGGGGTGAGATCAACAACATGGTTAAAGGTGGAAACATCTCTGCCACCACAAGCCCTTTGGCATTGCCCTGGGTGGAGCTCAGTACCAGTGGGGCAGTCACGAGCCATTCTGCCTTTCTGCAGCTAAAGACCAAGAACCATTTTTTGATAACTTAATTAGGGAGTTGAAGTGGCCTGTTGGCCATAAGTGAGAGCAGGTATTTGGGGAAGGAGGGAAGTACCTTTTCTAACGCTACTACCAAAAAGCTCTGCAGAAATATCATCTGCATGTGTCAGTCTGTCTGCTTGACACTGCTGGTTGTAGTGGTGTCTGTGATGCCCTCGTATGTAATCTCGCAGAGGTGCGAAGTGACTAGAGACGTAGTCACTCTCTCCCTCCTTCAGAGAACTTGTGCAGGAGCTGCAGTGAGGTCTCAAGTACCTCTTAACTGAGAGCTGAAAGGGGAAGGTAGGGGTAAGCATTCCTTTGCCCTGCAAATACGATTTGCTAGATAGCCTTCTCTTAGCAGAGGTGGCAGTGGCATCAGGAGTCGTCTCCTCTGTGGTGCTGACCCACATATAACTCTAGCTGACCCTATATAACTCCAACTGTATTGCTGCTCATACTGCACAGGCTCTGCCAGCCCTCCTGAATCACTCTCGCTATATCATGATGTCTACAAGGTAGCCCTGTCATCTCTGGTTTGCTGTAAAACAACCTCAGGGCTTTGGCATGTATAACTCATATAGTTGCTTTTCCTGGCAAACTTGGGTTTTCCCTTGTCTCAGGCTCTCGGTGGCTCACAATGCACGCCGTGTTTTGGGAATAACCAGGCACGAAGGGGCGGAGTGGCAATCTATTTGCTCTTCTAGGGCTCAGGGTGACAGCAGCAGCTGCTCTTCAGCCCCTCTGTGCAGGACTGAGGATCTTCCCCATGTCTGCAGGCAGATCCAATTTGATCTGCTGACTGACATGGGCTCATGGAGTATGTAAAGGCCAGAAAAAGCCTGGCAGAAAAGGGTCCTCCTTGTTCTTTGACCTTCTTGCTTCTACCAGGCTAGATTTTTCTGGAATTCTATAAAGTCTGTGCAACTGCTATGGAAATGTGTACTCATCTGGCTGCTACTCAGGTCCCGGACATTCGCCTGTAGAAATATTATACTGCTTTACTGTATTTTCCCACCTAGCTACTGTGCTGATGACTACAGTATAGCCTTAAGCTGTGGGATACTTTGCCACATGATATTGTGGATGCTGAAAACTCGTGTGGGCTCAAAAGCAGATTGGAGAGATGAGTGGAAGACAAATCCATTGAGTGTTACTAAATTCATAGGTGGCACATCCAGCTCAGGAAGTCGCTGTCAACAAATGGTTAGAGGCTCAGAGAGCATGCAGGGAGGCATCATGTATGCTTGCTCTGTTCTCAAAGCGAGGGATGGTACCTGCTTTTGGCTGCTATCTACAGAGGCTATGACACTATGAGAACCCTTAATCTGATCAAGCACAGGTACTGTTATGTTTCAGAGCCTGTTGACATTATTAGTGATAGTAAATCCAGTTATTTGGGTTTGTAACACCTCAGAAAGTAAGTAGGTACAGCTCAAATTCTGACGTAGAAACTGCTGAAAGAATGGATTC